TCACAATAATTCGTAGTTTTCATTATTCTTCAATTGGGATAAATTAAATTAAGAATAAAATGCAACCGAATACTTCATTGACACATGCAAAGAATTCGCAAGTGTGTTTTTTGCCACTAAAATATATGTTTCTTCCCATGAAAAAAAATTTAACCAAAAAGATAAAGTTTTTTAGGACAAAAAGAGGTTTCTTAATTGGCAGATCTCTCCTCTTTTTAAAAGGTCCGTATCAAAACTATACGACCCCAGGAACTTTTAATGTTTAACTTATGTCGAATTTGCACAATTAGGGAAACAAACAGTATTTCATTTTTTTTTTCAAACTGTATTTTTTTAACATTTTAAACATTTTTAAACAGGATCCTTCGAAAAGTATAAACACATATTGTCTGTTAGTGTATTACAGATTTGGACCTATACTAGCTAGATGATTAAGACTGCATGAATTGGTTTATTAACATTTTTAACGGAGCAGCATTAAAACAGAAACTACTTTGCAGAAGAAAATATTTTGTCAAGTAATTTCAATAACTTGGATGTGGAACAAATGAGCAGGTCCTCCAGCAGTGGCCATAAGAACGCTCCCGCCCCGATTAATTCATTTTGCTTTGTTGACACGTTCTAGGAATATTATGTACTTTTCTGCTGTTCGGTAAAGCGTTCTATAAAGAGTTCTAATGCATTCCCAAAACTGAACTTATTCAACGTACTTTCCCTTTTGGCGGTAATTATATTTTTTTTTAAATAATTTTTTTGTTTTAATTTTTGGAAATTATTTAAATGTAAAGAAAAAACTTTCTTTAAAAGTTATTTGTTTTAAATAAATTATCGAAATGATAAATAATTTGTTTATTATTAAAATTTAACTAGTTGTCTTTATTCCTATTGGATCTTGAAGATATAGTTTTCCGATACTTCTGGTTCCGACTTATATACTACCTGCAAAAGAAGGAACACTTTTCGGAAAGTTTCAGCCCGATAGCTTTAAAACTGAGAGTAGTTTTCGTAGAAACAGACGAACAGACGTACATGGCTAGATCGACTCGTCTAGTGATGCTGATCAAGAATATATGTACTTTATGGGGTCGGAAACGTCTCCTTCACTGCGTTGCACATTTCTGACTGAAATCATAATACCCTCTGCAAGGGTATACAAATAATATCGTTGTTGTTTTCATACCCGTTACTCGTAGAGTAAAAGGGTATACTATTTTCGTCGGAAAGTATGTAACAGGCAGAAGGAAGCGTTTCCGACCCCATAAAGTATATATATTCTTGATCAGGATGACTAGCCGAGTCGATCTAGCTATGTCCGTCTGTCTGTCCGTCCGGATGAACGCTGAGATCTCGGAAACAATAGGAGCTAGGCTATTGAGATTTGGCATGCAGATTCCTGAGCTTCTTACGCAGCGCAAGTTTGTTTCAGCAATGTGTCACGACCACTCTAACGCCCACAAACCGCCTAAAACTGTGGCTCCTACAGTTTTGGTGCTAGAATAACTGAAATGTATTGTCCTCATCAATACCTATCGATTAACCCAAAAAGTTCGCCACGCCCATAAGCCGCCCACAAACTTCTAAAAATCGTAAATATAAACGCGGATTTCTCGGAAACTATCAAAGATAGAAAATGGAGATTTCATATTTAGATTCCGTAGCCGTGTAAGCAGTGCAAGTTTGTTACGCGAAGATGCCAGGCCCACTTTAACGCCCACAAACCGCCCAAATCTGTGGTGCCAACAATTTTGATGCTAAATAAAAAATGTTAACTGAAATGTTTTAGTCTTGTTAATACCTATCGATTGATCCAAAAAAAAAGTTTGGCAATCCCATTCTAACGCCCACAAACCGCCTAAGCCTGTGGCGGCCACAATTTTCATGCTAGAAAAAAATGTTATCTGAAATGTATTAGTCTCGTCAATACCTATCGATTGACCCCAGAAAAAGTTTGCCACGCCCACTCTAACGCCCATCACGCCTAAATCTGTCTACCGTCCACATAACCATATATTGAGATCGCGGGTAGGTGGCGCATTTCAATCTCGCTTTACTGCTTGCATTTCTCCATTTCCCACTGGTCCCTTTAGGTTAGTAACGGGTATCTGATAGTCGAGGTACTCGACTAAAGCGTTCTCCCTTGTTTAACATATAACCTCCTACGCTTGGAAATAACATTTTTTAATTAGTTCTGAATTTCGAATTTAATTTTATCAAAATCGGTCGACTATATCATATAGCTGCCATAGGAACGATCGGAAAATTGGTGGCAAAACAATATGAAACAAATTGTTGCTTCGGTGTTTTGTGACATATTATCTTATACTATTGGGATTTAAATTTTTTGTATTTTTAGGAATTTCGAATTAGTAAATTTACTTAAAATCGGACGACTAAATCATATAGCTGTCAAAGAAACGGTCAAAGAAATAATGAAATAATTATTTTTTAAACAAATTTTGCTTTCTTTATTTTGATCGTATTTTCCTTTACTCTGGGATATAAAATATTTTAACTTTTCAGCACTGCAAATTTAATTTTACGCAAATATCAGTGAAGTTAGCAACAATCCCTAAAAATTTAACGTGGTGTTACTAACATTGATTATTTCTTAAAACTGCAAGGGTATACAAACTTTGGATTGCCGAAGTTAACTTCCTTTCTTATTTTTTAAGCTAAAGAGTACAAATTTGACATTCAGATTCTAGTAGTGCCTATAAAGTCCATGTTTGGTTCAACAGAGTGCCACGTAAATTTAATTTTTTTTGTCAATATCTATTTGACGTGCCAAAAGTCTGTGCAATCGGACCATCACTGTGGACGGCAGTCCACGTAGGGACGAAGCGCACCAGGAGGATGTGCGAAGGCGACTCTACAGTAATCGTCCGATGGTTACGAGTGATACATCAAGGTATTGCAAAAACAAACAGGTTTGTATACCACGACTTTAAGAAAACCAATTAGTTTGGGAGAAAGAGTGGTAAAAGTGTAAAAGTGAAAATTTGGAAAATTGGATCTGTTGGGGCCGGTGAGGATAAATACTTATCATCATAATACTTCGAATACGCGTCGAATGACACCTCAACTGTAAAAATCGGATGCTCCGTTCAAAAGTAATACGCAAAACAAGATTGTGGGGGACTTCTCAAAATGAAAAAAACATTTCTGTTTGTCAGTTTGTCCCAAAATGATGTTTTGGGATCCTGAAAATTTTAGATGATGCTAAACAGCTCAATATAAGAATCATTAGTTCTACCATTTTTGGAAAAACTAGCTAGTTAGGAAAGCTAGTCCTGGAAATTTGATATGATGTTAAACAGCCTAACGTAAGAAACTTTAGTTCTAGCACTTTGGGAAAAATTAGCTAGTTTGGCGGGAAAAGAGCTTTAAATAACTAAAATTTACACACCCTTAACTTGTGAACTACTTAAGCTTCAGGTTTGTGCTGTATGTCGTTAGAAAGGCATTTCTAAATACTATTCGTCTTTTCTATTCGTCTATACGTCTTTCGAAATTTTTTTATTCCGATTTTTTTCATCATTTTTTCTGATTTCTCAAAAACGGCTCTAACGATTTCACATTAAATTTCAGGATGTATAGTTCTTGAGATTTCTCAACTTTTGACGTACGACACATTGCTGTAAAAAGTACCATTTGAAAGTTGTTAAATAAATGGCCACATTTACGAGTTGAAACATTGCCTGAGCATTGAACTTGTTTTGTGCGTATTCAAACTCTATTGCCGGTCCTGAAAATTTTGGAAAAACTCGCAAGTTTATCGGGAAGACAGTTAAAAAAAGCTACATTTTGCAAACCCGAAATTCATGAACTAAGAAGAAAGGAAGTTAACTTCGGCAAGCCGAAGTTTGTATACTCTTGCAGTTATAATTATTAAATTTAATTCGAAATTCTTAAAAATACAAAAAAAAAGTATAAGATAATATGTCAAAATTATATGGCAGCTATATGATATAGTTGTTCGATTTTGATAAAATTAAATTCGAAATTCAGAACTAAAAAATGTAAAAATGTTATTTCCAAGAGTATGAGGTTATATGTTAAAAAACACCGAAGCTATATCTTTTTTCATATTATTTTCCCACTAATTTTCCGATCGCTCCTATGGCAGCTATATGATATAGTCGTCCGATTTTTATAAAATTAATTTCAAAGTGTAGAAGTAATTAAAAAATGTTGTTTCCAAGCGTAGGAGGTTATATGTTAAAAAACACCGAAGCTATAATTGTTTCATATTATTTTCTCACCAATTTTCCGATCGTTACTATGGCAGCTATATCGTATAGTCGTCCGATTTTGATAAAATTAAATACGAAATTCAGAACTAATTAAAAAATGTTATTTCCAAGCGTAGGAGGTTATATGTTAAAAAACAGCAAAGAAATATTAAAAAAAAAATTCCGATTATTCCTATGGGAGCTATAAGACATAGTGGTCCGATCCGGCTGGTTCGTGTGTGTAAAATCTTAAATATTTTTCTGAAGCGGGCCGAAAAAGTTAATTTTAGAAATAGTTTTTTTTTCGAATGTAAAATTTTTTTCGTCACAAATTATGATAAGGACTTTTGTATGTTAAGGGCGCGGTCGTCACTATTTTTTTTACCTCGTTAAGAGGTGTTTTCGTTTGATTAGTTAATAAATCAAATTTGTATATAATAGTCGAGTCACTCGACTTTAGCTTTCTCTCTTGATTTTTAAATTTCCACGAAAGTTGAAAATACAAAAAATAAATACATCCTTGAATTAGTGGATAAAATTGATTTTTTTTTTAAATTCTGTTTTATTGTGTTTTGAAGTACAGGATTGATGCTACCATTTTTTAAATTTAGAAATTTAATAAAATATTTTAAATGTTGCAGCTATTGCGGTGGTTTAAACAACTTAGAACAGTTGGCCTTATCCATAAGTATACCTAGGCCACTCTCCCTATTACGTTCTCTTTAAAATAACATGCAAAATAAACATAATTTGTTTAATTTTTTTAAGGTGAATATTTGGATACATCTGATTCTGGATCGTGTGAAGAAATTGATACTGAAGATATAAAAAAAATTGGAAATCCCTACATTGACAATACTGATTTTGAGCTAAATATTGAAGTATTTAATGCCTTAGAGGAAAGAAAGCAATATTTAATTAACAAAATTAAGCCATTTTCCGTTTCTGGCGAACAAAACCACTCATCCAATCAGCACATAAAAACATACATAGATTATAATAATGCACAGCTCATAGCGCAGTATCTAGCTACTAAACGGCCTTTCAGTCAATCATTCGATGGATGCTTAAAAAAAATTATTTTAGTCGTTAAGTGAGTATAAATTGGAGTGTCCTTCTTACAGCTGAACTAACTCTAAGTTCTTAATATGATACAGTGAACCCTCAATAGCAGTACGGACTCGCGCAATGAAATGCCTTGCAAACATTGTGGAAGTTGACCCGTTGGTACTGAAACGGAAAGACATGCAAATGGGAGTAAATCAGAAATTCCTAGATACAGCTATTTCAGTACGAGAAGCTGCGGTCGATTTGGTGGGAAAGTTTGTTCTCAGCAATCAAGAATTAATCGATCAGTATTACGACATGCTGTCTACTCGAATTTTGGTAAGAGACATTAAAAACAAACAATTTTAAAACATCTATAAAATATTATTTATTTCTAGGACACTGGAGTTTCCGTTCGAAAAAGAGTCATTAAAATTTTACGTGATATTTGTATAGAATATCCGAATTTTGAAAAAATTCCCGAAATTTGTGTTAAAATGATACGACGTGTAAATGATGAAGACGGCATACAAAAACTGGTTACTGAAGTTTTTATGAAAATGTGGTTCACACCATGTATAAAAAATGACAAAGTCAGTATCAACAATTTTTTTAATACATTTTATTTAATTTTATTATGCAATTCCCATTAATTTTTATACATTTTATAAATTTATTTAATAAGTTTTTGAGAAAAACGACTTGAAAATACTATATTTTTGGCCCCTTGAAATGGGTTTTTACTTATCTACGTACAACTTTTACAAAAGTTTTATTTCTATTGAAAGTAAAATATAATTGGGATCGGAAAACATGAATCGGATTAAAAATGTCTTCGTTGTTTTTGATCATGTTTTCTTTTTTTCTAAAGGGGTATAGATTTTATACTCTTTATTTGTAAAGTAAAAGAGTTGGAAAGTATGTAAAAGTTAGAAGGATGCATTTACATCTCTACACAGTATATACATATATTGATCAGGATCACTAGCCAAGTCGATTTAGCCATGTCCGCCTATCCGTCTGTACATATCTCCGTGTTAACGCATTCATCTCTGAAACTATAAGTGCTGTAGTGTTGGAATTTCTTATTCACGGCAAAGACGGGTTCGGTTAAAAACCGGAGCTAAATTTGGGTGAAAAGAGAGCTTGTTATGTTGGGTCGCTTGTTGTTTATCTTAACTAGTATGATACGAAGTGCCTTGTGGATGTTTTCGTTTCGAACACGTTTATGCGCGCTCTATTATGTTTATATTGCTGTTGCTCGCGTTAACCAAGAGCTGGGATCCGTAAGTCCATAGGGGCGACCGTGGTATAATCAGCCAATGTAGTTAGTTTTTTCTGAGTTTTAGTTGAAAGTTTCTTGCATTAAATATGTCTCCGCCAGGTAAATCGTCTGTCAAGGCGTATAACGAGATTCGGCACGTCGTTCCGAGTACAATTCAATGTAAGCGAAGGGCACTTTTGGTTATAGAGGGTAAATGTTTTGTAAACACTTTTGCTCGTATATTTAAATACTCTAGTCTGATAGCCATTTCTCAACAGTATTCGCGATGTTCGAATGGAGTTCGGATTTCTGATGTTACTCTGTTGACTTGCTTGATTTTTCCATGACTTTCCCGGAAGCCATGTGCTGGAATTAAATTTTGCGTTCTAAGATATGTCTCTTTATTGTTCTTTAAATGAGTAAAAGTCGTTCTTAACTTGCGACTTTGAACTTGAAATATTTCCTAAGAAGAGCGCACAACAGCCTGCAAATATTTATACCCGTTACTCATAGGGTGAAAGGATCTACTACATTCGTTTGAAAGTATGTAGAATCTAGAATATATATATATTCTTGAACAGGATCACTAGCCAAGTCAAACGAGGCCGCCTGTCTTTCCGTCTGAGATCTCGAAACATATAAAAGGTACAAATTTTGGATTTGGCATGCCAATTCTGGGGGTCTTTGCGCAGAGCACGTTAATTAAACCAGGGTGCATACAGCTCCAATTACCCTGTTACGCATGTAAAATTTTCATTAACCATTTTGAGTTACATGATTATTGGATCCTCCTGAGTAAATTTCGCGGTATAGGTAAAATTACAAAAAAACCGATGTTTGCCGACATTTTAAATTACGTGGCCTATCCAATTGGCCTTACCCTAAACACACTCTTAATACAAAACGATAACTAAAAAATAATCCCCATGGCCAAAGTTAAAACTCCCAAGTTTTTAATAATTTCTTTGATCCAAAAGCGCCCCTAAAAAATAAATCTTAAATGGAAGTAATTTTTATTTTTCTCGGAATCTATTGTCCACTGTATGCTTTTATTTCGGTTTAAAGCAGTTTCATGAGGATATTTTATTGGATTTGTTGTAGCAATAAAATCATTTTTTTTATTCTCATGTATGTATGTTGTCAAATTTAAAATAAGTCATGGCAACCTATAGAATCCGAATAAACAAGTACATCGTCTTCAGAATATAACATTTTTTATACAGACTAATCTCCAAATCAATTTGGTTATGTTTGCGAATTTTTTAATATTTTATTCTGAAGACGATTTAAATAAATATAAAAATATTCTATGCATAAAAATATACATTTTTACTCGCATTTCAAAGATTGCCTTGACTTATTTTAAATGTGACAACATAAAGCAGCAGATAATAAAACTAAAAAAACGATTTTATTGCTATAACAAATTCAATCAAATTTTCTCATGAAATCGCGTTAAACCGAAACTAAAGCATACAGTGGACAATAAATTCCAAGAAAAATAAAAATTATTTCAATTTAAGATGTTGGGTCCTTGTCAGTAAAACTCTCATGTATACTTTTGTGCCATCACCTACAAGCTCCGCGATATAGCTAAGAATACAAAAACCGATGTTTGCCACATATCTTTTAACTAAAATAACGGAAATAAATCTAGTGGAATAGGAATTTTTTTACCCTTGCAGAGGGTATTATGATTTCAGTCGGAAGTTTGCAACGCAGTGAAGGAGACGTTTCCGACCCCATAAACTATATATATTCTTGATCAGCATCACTAGACGAGTCGTCCGTCCGTCCGTTTCTACGCAAACTGGTCTCTCAGTTTTAAAGCAATCAGGCTGAAACTTTTTCAAAAGTCTTATATCTTTTGCAGGTAGTATATAAGTCGGAACCAGCCGGACCGGAAAACTATATATTATAGCTCCCAAAGGAATAATCGGAAAAAAGAGTATATCTTTGGTGTTTCTTAATATATAACGTCCCACGCCTGGAAATAACATTTTTTAATTAGTTTTGAATTTCGAATTTAATGTTAGCTGAACCGGACGGCAATATCATATAGCTGCCATAGGAACGATCGGAAAATTGGTGGGAAAATAATATGAAACAAATCATAGCTTTGGTTATTTTTGGCATATTATCTTATACTATTAAGAATAACATTTTTGTATTTCTAAAAATTTCAAATTAAATTTAATAATTATAACGCAAGGGTTTATAAACTTCTGCTTGCCGTAGTTAACTTCCTTTCTTGTTTGACATATCATCTTATACTATTAGGAAAAACATTTTTGTTTTTTGAAGAATTTCGTATTAAGTTGAATAAAAATCAGACGACTCTAACATATAGCTGTCAAAGAATCGGTCAGAGAAACAATGAAATAAATATTTAAAAAAAAACTTTTGCTTTGTTGATTTTGATCGTATTTTCTATTGCTCTGGGATATAGAATATTTTAACTTTTCAGCATTGCAAATTTAATTTTACACAAATATCACTGAAGCTAGCAACAATCCTTAAAAATTTAACATGGTGTTACTAACATTTATTATTTCTTATAACTGCAAGGGTATACAAACTTCGGCTTGCCGAAGCTAACTTCCTTTCTTGTTTTTTGGATTTTTGTCGCGTTTTGTATCGTAATCTTTTGACATTTAAACCTTTTTTACCCCTCTATAGCCATCTTTACTATGTTTTTCTAAAAGGTTAAAGTTCGTTATTTTACTAAAAGATAGGTCATGTAAAATAACTACTTGAAATATGGCTACACCAACGTTTTTGTCATTTAGAAAAAGGTCTACATCGTTTTTATTGTTTTTGATTGACTGTACAATGTGACCCGCCATTATTGATGTGTCTGTGTGTGTCTTCCATATCTTTTTCTCTTGTGTCCATATGTTCTACTTTACCGTTACCTTGCATGAGTTTGATGACACCCTTGCATACCTTTCTAATAAGATTTTTGGAGTTTCTCAGATTTCCAATGATCTCGCCTTAGTTGGCTGTATTGAAACCAATCGGTCTCTTGTTGATTTTGACTACTAGAGCTGGTTTCCGATTCGATTTAATCGATTCTTTACCCCCGACAAAACAATTTTTATACCCGTTACTCGTAGAGTAAAAGGGTATACTAGATTCGTCGGAAAGTATGTAACAGGCAGAAGGAAGCGTTTCCGACCCCATAAAGTATATATATTCTTGATCAGGATCACTAGCCGTCCGGATGAACGCTGAGATCTCGGAAAATATGAGAGCTAGGCTATTGAGATTTGGCGTGCAGATTCCTGAGCTTCTTACGCAGCGCAAGTGTGTTTCAGTAGAGTGCCACGCCCACTCTAACGCCCATAACGCTTAAATCCGTATACCGCTGGTAGGTGGCGCATTTAAATCTCGCTTTGCTACTTGCATATCTCTATTTAGCTGAGTAACGGGTATCTGATAGTCGAGGTACTCGACTATAGCCTTCTTCCTTGTTTTGAGAATAGATTCTTTTGGCCAACATTGCAATTTGTTGTGAAATTCGATGTGACGCTTCTTAAAACAAGGTTTGTAGTTGAAATCTATTTTTCGTCTATTATGTATTTACAATTTCTTTCTTTTTAATTATATAGGTTGGTAGTTGGTGGCAGGACTGTGAATGTGTATATGATCTCTAAAAAAATAGAATGATCTGTTTTTTACATACAATATCAAAACAATAAATGTGTAAACTGAAGTTTCTTATTATTTTAAAGTTTTTTACTATTTTAAGCGTTTGGTATTTTTAAGAAATATATTGAATTTGAATGTTTATTTTCTTTTGTACAAAGATTTTTAAGTCCTTTTCTCTTTTTTAAATACAACCGTTTTAGTTCGATTAAATCAATTTTTTGAAACGAAAAGATCCAGCTCTATCTGCCACTACTAGAATCTGTGTCAGGGGGGCATCCGCCATGTTTTTTGCTGCTTTGACCAGTCTACCGCCAAAAAAAACACTTACCAGAAAAGAAGGGGAAAATCCCACTGCAGCAAAATTTCGAGAAATAAACAGATTCTTGGTTCTCCAATATTTTCACTGTACGCAGATAAAACGCAACCGGTCTTGCTCGCAAATGAAAAGAATGTGTAAGCTAATTTTCGCACCGTTAACACAAACAAACTGAGACTTAAAACGCAATAACTTCACTTTCAATCAATAAAATGTCATGATATTCTCACTTGACAATCGATAAGGAAAGCAGATTCTGTCGCACCAGTCGACATATTGATGGCGCCTCCAGGAGGCGCTAGATTCAACAAGTTTTGTTTATTTTGGATCGCACTTTGAATTATATCGGTCGAAAACCTACG